CCAACATCCTTCCAACATCCTTCCAACATCCTTCAACATCCTTCAACATCCTTCAACATCGTTCAACATCGTTCAACATTAGCTAACAGTGGCAAACACTGTTCAACATTGTCCAATATCGTTCAATAAAGTCCAACATCCACAACTGCGCGAAGACGACTATTTGTGTAGGAGACAAGAGAGGAGAGAGCTCCTTCGCGAACGGCGACTCACGGTCAACTAATACCGAATCATTTGGAATCATTATCCCTGTTTCCCATTTTTTGTCCCTTATCGGCGATGTTCGGCAACTTCCAGTCGTACTCGCTATCGGTTACCACTATTATTACCTGCAGCTATTTATCCATTGAAAGAATCTAAGGAATTTTTGACTATTTTACATCTGCGAAAAGGGTTGTTCGCTTAATCCAATTACAAAGTATTTTCCGGAAGACCCATGGTAACTGCGCGTTCATAATAAAAATCGCGACGGCCGAGTTATTATTATATTCCTGGAATTGACCGACAATGGGTCGCGGTCAATGTGAAGATGTTTTATTTTGTACGTACTAATCATTGTAATTTATATTCTATTATTATTTATTTAACCTTCTTTGAAATTTTAATGTAACAGAAACTGACTTTAATATTCACCGAAATTAATATTCTATATTCGGCGATCTTCAGTCCTGCTCCCTAGCGGTCCCCTCTGTTAATACTTTTAAATATTTAACTATTGTAACAATGTATTATAAATATAAATATTGAAAAATTACGCAGCTGTCTCATGAGCGTAGGTCAAGACCCCTCTAAGAATATTCACCGACGTCAACCATAATAAACCGCAAATTTTGGGAACGGCAAAATTTTTGTTTTCATATAAGAGTTTAAACGTTCGTTTTTACACCTGGCAAACATACCACCCTGTAAATATTTTCGCCAATAAATATGTTAATCTCTCTACTCTACCCTCACTCAAATATCCGCCACACTGACATAGTCTTGTAATAACTAATGACTGATCAACACTGAATCAGGAAAATTTAAAATCACTCCTCATTTCGTCACTTCGCTTTCGACAATTCATAGAATAACGCTCTTTCAAACTTTGCTTTATCGAAATTAATTTTTCGAAAGAACATTCCTCAAGCCACGCAAATTATTCTACGTGTTATTAGTAGCAGTGTCACGAGTACATTCCAAACAGATCTGAATCTCGATTTTTTTTAAGAACTATTTGTTTTTAACTAAATTAAATTGTCATATTACCAACAAGTTATCGGATGTCAAATTATTTATTTTATTATAATTTATTGCAAAGGATTGTGTTGGAATTTGTTACTATTATTGATATTTATGACAGTGGTGGTTAGTAATAGTCAACAGTGGTTAATAGCTTTCAACAGTACACAAGTTTTCCACAGTTAACAAGAGACCTCTTCTCTAAATCCGTCGGCTTACTGTAAAAGGAACGTTACACCTGTTGCGCTTGTTATACCTGTTGCACTACCTGCTCCTCCATAATTTTTTACAGTTTACAATACTTTTAGAAATATAATATTTATATAATTTACGGCTTGAAAATGAATAAAAGGTGAACATACTTATAATTCTAACGATTATGTTTATAATAATCCATTTACAGCATACAAATTTTTCTTTAAAATATCATGTTCAGTTGTTATTGTATCCTTGAAGTGTTACATGATACATCG